ACAGCAAAGCCTAAACTGCATAAGCTTGCAATTCGCCGAACGTGGGATAAACATTGTGATGTGCGGGAGCACCTCCTTCCTGCCCGCTTGCTCGGCCGCCAGCCCCATCCAATGCTTATACTTCGCCATGTGAATTCCTGGTTGTTTGCCGTCTGACGGATACACGTCAGGCTGGACATCTAAACGTGTATGCTTCCAACCACTCACTAATCGGTCCTTGAACTCCGAAATCACACCTTCTGGCATTGGCTTGTTCATCAGCCACTCCACTCGTTCGTCTACCTCGTGTAGCCCTTGCGGGGCCTCAGCAGTTGTGTGATACAGGTCGGTCCGCTATGTTTTCCTTAAGCGCAAAGCTGGACAAAATGAAGCTGTTTGCTCCCGATGTGCGAATGCGGTGTTTTGCAACCCAAGTCCGAGCAATTCTGTTGTATGGCTGCCAGGCGTGGGGCCCTTTTGCGCTGGCAGAGGTCGTAGACAGGGTGGGAAGGCGGCGGGATAAAGCCAACCTTGCGGAGGGCATGTTCGAAGCCTGTTTGAAGGATAGTGCAGTCCAGCTGCAGATTTTATTCATGAGGCAGGTAGTGGGGATGGCACGGCCATCCCACAGGCTGTTGTACGCGGAGCTGGCTGAACTCCCCTTACAATATTACATGGTGAAGCAGATCCTCCGTTTCTGGAACCGCCTTCAAAAGCAAGTGGGATCCATTGCTCATGCAGTTTTACGGCAGGAGATAACCGATGCCCTGACCAACCCGGAATGGGAGGGTTGGGGAATCTCAATGTTACGACTGTTTTCCTTCTTGGAGTGCAACATTTGGAGCGGAATACCGCAAGAAGTCGTGGGGGTAAAGGAGCGTGTTGACTGGTTGTTGAGTAGACCTCTACCCGAAGGAGCGATGATAACGGCACTAAGATAGCGTTTGATGAGCGGCTGGGACCATACGCGCCTGACTGTCTTGCCAGAGGAGTACCCATCAGATGGGAAGAATAGAAATGATAGCCCACACAACTACAGTTTGAAAGGCGCCGACAGAGGGTGACGCCCAGGTGACGCCCAGCTCTTCAAGAAAAAAAAATAGAAATGGACTACATACAACGAGCACGGAACAATCCTGAGGAACTGGCCAACAATGGCCTCATGGTACAGTTGATAGATCAGATAGCCGGGCTGGCGGGAGGCCTGGCAGCCACCAACCAGGAAATCCGCACGATCAAACATGAGCAAGCGGAGCTAAAAACGCAAGTAAAGAGCCTGATGAAGAGTGGCCGGGGAGTCTACTACGACGCCTTCGGCCTAGTCCATCAAAACGGGCTCTTCTATTTGGATAGCATGCGGATCTTCACGACTGGGAACGTGGATGAGAGCAGGATCAAGAACGTCCTAAGGGAAGCGGACGTTAATATTAAGCGGATCAGGCTCCTGGGGAGCGATCCGAATAAAGACCGCAAGACCTGGTGCGCGTACTTCGATATAACGGAACGGCCATCATTCTTCAGGGCTGCTGAGGTCCTACGGCACCAGAAGGTGGGCATCGACGACAACTTGACCCAAGCGGGGAGGATCGAGAGAAAGCGCATGGCCCCGCTGCGGCAGGACATCATGCGACAAGGCGCGATCCCAGTCTGGAGGAACGGGGCCGAGCTATACATAAAGGAGCGACCAGGCGGAAAAGCGCAGCCGTATGGGACCCGGAATGATACCGACAGCGACCTGGGCAGCGCGGAGTACGGCGCCGACGGAGGCGACAGCGATGGAGAAGGAACTGCAGCTGCCGAGCAGGGAGCGGACGGCAGTGAATATGTCGGTGGCAACGCAGGAGGCGGAGAAGGAGGGGCCAGCGGCAGCAGGGGCCCCGGAGGTGGCACCTCGGGAGTGGCAGCAGCAGCTACGACCGCAGCAGCCGGGAAGGGGTGTGTGCGGGGCCCCAAGATGGCGGCCGTAGGGTCTGCAGCTCCGGCCGTCGCAGGGGCAACAAACCCAACGGCAGCTATTGCACCAACGACCACCTCGTGGGCGCGTGGTGTGCGGGCACCGCTATCCCCATCCGTGGCCTGCAGGGCAGGGCCGGCAGCGATAGCGCCCTCAGTAGGGGCCAACCCGACCGCCAGAGCCCCTCCTCCTCCACCACCTCCCGAACCAATCCCGTCCGGGCATGAGCTGGCGCTTATTGCGAACAATAAAAGCAAAATACCACCCGAGGCCTCACTTAGCGCTGTAAAGGCGAAACCCTCGAAGCAGCTGCGGACCGAGGGCACCATTGGACTGATGTACACGGCGTCACCAGGCACTCTGGAGCGAGCGAGCTACAGACCACCAGCCGGACGCGACCCACGAGTACCAGGGCCGGACAGCCGGGGCGTCGACGCTGAAGGGTTCCGACTCGTGGCGGGTAGCACGCGAAACGGGCAGGTGGGCCAAGGAGGAAGCGGTAGTGGGGGCAGGGACGACAGGGCACGGGACCAACTGGCGGTTAACAGGACAAACCGCTTCGCAAACCTCCCCAATGCTGACGAAATGGATGACACCTAGGGGCTCGCGAGCCGAGGGCTAAGGATTTTACTATGGAATGTTCATGGGCTACTGGAGGCGGGAGTTTTCAAGCTCAACCAGGCAGGAATTAGGTCGTTCGTCACGAGTCACGATATTGTGGTTATAGCTGAGGCGCATTTGAAGGACACCACTGAGGAGAAAGACATAGCTTTGGAAGGGTTCCGTATTTTCCGGGTGGAGAGGTCAAAGGAAGCCCTGAGGGCCGATTATGGGGGCGTCGCGCTGTATGTACGGGAGTCACTCACGAGGGGTATTACGGTAGTGCGCAAGGACAACCAGCTGCCAGGGTGCGAGGTCATTTGGACACGCGTTAGCCTTTCTACAGGTAGCAGCCTCCTGATGGGAGCCTGCTACCTCGCACCAGAGACGTCCAGGGTCTACCCGGATGGTGGAGGCACCGTATCACAGCGCACTGCAGCAGCAGAAGCCGTTTTTACCAGGATCCAACAGTCACTAACGGAACTCAGGCTTGGCGATGAGGACGTGCTGATTGCCGGGGATCTTAATGCACGTCTGTCTGGAGCACAGCATGAGCGGAACCGTGCTACCCCGATGGACTTACCTGCTTACGTGAATGACATCCCGGATTTAGAGCAGTCACAAGCCGTATGCGAGGTCATGGGTTTTGAAGGACTGAGGGACCACCAGAATTATGATGGACTCGGAAATCGAAAGTGCCAA